AGTATAGAAGTTGCCCCGACGCGGTGGTCTAGTGGCTCAGGTACTCGGCTGCTAACCCGCAGGTCGCGGGTTTGTATCCCGGCTGCAGCGGCTGCATTTCCAATGGGGGCGGAATTGTTGTAGGCCTGTGTGGTCAGATTTGGGAGCACGATAAAGAACCCCTGGTGCTGGAAATTTCCGGAGCCCTCCACTACGGCGTCTCTCATAATCATATCGTGGTTTTGGGACGTTAAACCCCACAAATTAATCAAATTATAGACGTTTTGTTGCAAAGATGTGACAGCAACAAAATAAATATATACGAAGTAAGGCTAGCAATTAACTCTTGTGAATCTGCCCCCGCATAGCTGATCAAAAACGCTTGCTTAAGGAAATACCGCCGCTCCTGAGACCAATGTGGCTTCCGTGCTGTCAATTTTGTGTGGGCATTTCGTGAAAATGTCCAAATAAATAAATATTTTGATAAATAAAATAAATAAATAAATAAAATAAACAAATGCATAAATGAACAAATAAATAAATAAAGATTCCTCTAAACGTGCAGTAAGCGTCAAGAGGCACAGCAAGTTCCCAAGCCCACTCTTATGTATGTCGAGAAGGCGCTGGCACCAGTTCTCGCGACTGCGCCCATATATGAGCGAAGTTCTCAGTTGTTGCCCGAGCGATGCAGCCACTTCCCACCGATGCTCTTTCGTCCAACGAAAGACGGGGTGGGAAGGGCAGTGTTCCTCTTTGTTTGGGGTGCCATAAACGTCAGGCCTCACATGCGAGGTGTTGTTATTACATGTACCCGTCATGCGACCGAGATCACCGGGTCACGTTATCTCTGTTTCAGCCGCGTTTTTACCCATCACATGCATGATTTTGCTTGCGCGTAGAACATACAATGCGCGGGGCGATGCTGTTGATTCTCGACTTTATGCGGAGGATGACAACGTCGGTGGCATCGTCATGTTCTGCGTGAAGTCCACGCGAAAGCAAAGAATCACCGAGAGTGCGCATATCAGGAGTTCAACGCCATAGCGTCATTCTGTTCCTTGCTTGCTTCCTTGATCGTTTCTTTTGTGGCTCTCACCCACTAAGGGGGATCGGCCAAGAAGCCGGTGGTTAATGCAAGTCAATACCTTTAGGTTTTCTAGACTAGGGGAATAGGATTACTTTGTTTTCACGGTGAAATTAATTTGGAACAATGTAAAGAAAAGGAGGGAAGGAGAGAAATAATAGAATTTGTTGAATATCTGAGGTGTAATCGTTATATGAAATTATGAAGGTTAAATCATTACAGTGTAACAGCTGAATACTAAATGGTAGATTGGCTAGTAAAAATCGAGAGCTGATCAATGGCTCAGCAAGGTAATCTTCTTGTGTTACATAGGAGTTCCTAGTGCATACTAACACTTCGCGCATCAAACTTGGGGGATTTGCAGCCAAAGTTGGGGGATTTGCAGCCAAAGCCTCAAGCTAATAACGTGCTGTTTTCTAGGTCATCGGACGCAGTTGCCACCGGACGCAGTTGCCACCGGACACGTGGCGTCCCCCTTTACCTTGCACCGTGACTGGCAATCACCACTTCATCTGAGGCAATCAGCACCACACCGGCGCTGCCATTGCTTACCGCTTCGACTGCTCATCGCTTCAAGCACCCTCAGTTCAGCCCCGCCGTAAAAAGGATCGCTCACGCCGACCGAGTGGGGATTTGCAGCCAAAGCCTCAAGCTAATAACGTGCTGTTTTCTAGGTCATCGGACGCAGTTGCCACCGGACGCAGTTGCCACCGGACACGTGGCGTCCCCCTTTACCTTGCACCGTGACTGGCAATCACCACTTCATCTGAGGCAATCAGCACCACACCGGCGCTGCCATTGCTTACCGCTTCGACTGCTCATCGCTTCAAGCACCCTCAGTTCAGCCCCGCCGTAAAAAGGATCGCTCACGCCGACCGAGTGGGGATTTGCAGCCAAAGCCTCAAGCTAATAACGTGCTGTTTTCTAGGTGAGTGTGTAGCTACTTGCTTGCCCTTGCTGAACTTCTAACTGGCTGCATATCCCCCAATTGCACACTGTCTATTGCACACTGTCAATTGCACACTGCCAATTGCACACTGTCTATGTATGACTAAGTATGGGTATTGATTTGTGCACTTACCGCGCTCGCATCGGCTGTTTCACTCAGCCGAGAAAAAATACGGGATCATGTAATCTTTTGTGGCTCCGTCCGTGTTCATTAGGTCGCCGTCACTTGCTGGGTGGACGCCTAGTGCTTGTGTTTTTTTCGCTTGCTCATTTGCTCATTTGTGCGGGCGACGTTGAGCTTAATCCAGGTCCTGACAAAGTTGACCAAGTGGTGGCACTGGTAAAGGAATTCACTGCTTCAAATGAACGTTTTCAAAAGGAAGTGACGAACAAGCTAAAAGACATTCACACTACTGTAACAGACCTCAAAAGGCGGCTCTCCAAAATAGAGGAGCGTCTTGAGAGCGTTGACAACTTAAGTGAAAGCGTCAAGGCTGTCGGCTCTGTTGTGCAAGAGTCTCAGGAACAGTTGAAAACCATTGAGCAAAAACAGACCCATCAAGCCAACCTTGTTGTAGATGACCTGAACAATCGAATGAGGCGCAATAATCTCGTGTTCAAGGGTGTTCCTGAGCAAGCCGCTGAAAAATGGAGCGATACAGAAAAACTCATTCATGAATTCGTCACGGAAAACTTGGGAATTCAACCAGGTGAAATTGAGCGAGCCCATCGGGTCGGGCAACGCAAACCCGATCGCACTCGACCTGTTGTTGTCAAATTCCTAAACTTCAAGGACAAAAGCAATATTCTGAAAAATGCGTTCAAGCTGAAAGACCTGGCAACCCCGCGAGTGTGGATCGAGGAGGATTTTTCACCTCGTGTGCAGCTAATTAGAAAAACGCTTCGTGATTTCGCGCGTGCGAAGCGACAGAAAAATGAGAAGTATAAGTTGCAGTTTGACAAGCTTATAATGGGCAACGTAATTTTCACCGTCGATTCCTCGAGCAATAAAGTGGTCCCCATCCCGAGACAAGACGCTCCCGCGATTTATGAATGACGCCCCATTGAAACCGAAGTTAAAAAGCTATCTATTATTATAGCTAATTTTAGAAGTATTTTTCGAAAACAAGATCACCTTTGTGCGTTTGTCGAATCCTGCTCGGCAGACATCATAGTGGGAACTGAAACATGGCTGACGAGTGACGTGTGTAACCATGAATTGTCTTTTACTAAAAACTTTATCCTGTTTCGAAAGGACAGAACGGAAACACGAGGAGGTGGTGTTATGATTGCAGTAAAAAAGATCTTCAAGCGCGTCTGCTTGATACGGGTTCCTGTATTGAAATTTTGTGGGTATTGGTCCAGCTTTCATGTGTAACTTGTGCCGTTGGGGTTTGTTACCGTCCGCCTGACTCAAAAGAAACCTTCGTTAATTGCCTAAACGAATCATTGAGCCTCGTATATGACAGATTTCCTGGCTCTCCTGTGATTCTCGCGGGCGACTTTAACTATCCTGGAATAAACTGGCGGACGGGCACAGCCGATAGCGGCGCAAGGATAGCTGAATGTAAGGACTTTCTTGACGTGATTTCGTCTTACGGTTTAAGCCAAATAGTTTCTATGCCAACACGGGGGGATGCTATCTTGGATCTTGTGCTTACCACCGAACCGTCAAACATGTCTGTTAATGTGTTAGACTGCATCAGTGACCATAATGTCATCCATTGTGAATTCAAGTTAACGCGTAAAGAAAGCGTGAATGAAAAGAAAACAATTTATGATTACGCACGTGCAGATGTTGAAATGATCTATAGCGAACTCTCGTCCTTTTGCGTAGAATTTTTCAACGGCATGCAGCATCGCGACAGCAATGAGAACTGGATGATCGTCTGTCACAAGCTAATCGAACTCAAAGAAAAATACATTCCAAAAATACACATATCTGTGTCTACAGGGAGCGCTTGGTTTACCTCCCACGTGAAGCGATGCATTAACAAGAAGAAGCGCTTTTATTCAAGAGCTAAAACCTTGCAATCTGACGATGCCTGGAAGGCTTATCGCGAACAGTCGCAGTTATGCAAAACCGAAATTGAGGCAGCAAAAGACAAATTTTTCAACCATGACATCTCCAACATGTTAACTGTCAACACAAAAAAATTCTGGAAAGTAATAAACCCCAAGCCGTCGTCTTCATGTTTCATATCGATAATGCAAGGCAACGAGTTCCTCCCGCCCTCTGAAGTCGCTACTGCGTTCAATTCCTTCTTTTGTTCTGTTTTTTCTCGTGAGCTTCCTATTACCGACAATATTCACCTCGGCTCCGTTACCTCCATCATGGAGGACATCGTGACCACTGAAAAGGGAATCGAAGCTGCTATTGATCGTCTTTCTAGCAGCTCTGCTCCTGGTCCAGATGGTATTTGTCCTAAACTGCTAAAGTTAACTAAACCTGTTATTTCTCCCATTTTTGCATGCCTTTTCCAGCAATCGATTCAGTCAGGATGCGTTCCTGACGGATGGAAAGTTTCTAAAATAGTGCCAATTTTTAAATCCGGAGACCCGTCATCTGTCACCAACTACAGACCAATCTCGCTGACCAGTATACCATGTAAATTATTAGAGCATATCATATCTTCGGCAATCATGAAGTACCTAACAAAGCACAACCATCTTTTCAGCAACCAGCACGGCTTTCAACAGGGTCGCTCCTGCGAGACGCAGTTATTCGAGCTGGTCTCTGACATTTACGAAGCTGTTAATGACTCATCGCAAATAGATGCCATATTTATCGACTTCGCCAAGGCGTTCGATAAGGTAGCTCATAACCGTTTATCACAAAAACTTCGCTATTTTAAAATACATAGTCAGGTTGTGAATTGGATAAGGAATTTCTTAACCGACAGGTACCAATTTGTAACTGCCAATGAATTTTCTTCCTCACGATCACTGGTCAAGTCAGGGGTGCCTCAGGGCTCTGTATTGGGGCCTATTTTATTCCTATTGTATGTAAATGACATCAGCAATAGCATTTCATCTACAGTTCGATTATTCGCAGATGACTGCGTAATTTATAGACGAATAACTACCACCTCTGATAGTGACGCTTTGCAATCTGACCTTGCGAAAATTGCAGATTGGTGTGAACAGTGGCAAATGGAGATAAATACTTCGAAAACTAAGGCTGTAGCCTTCACTAGAGTGTCTAATCCTAAGCTTACTCATTATTTGATAAATGACTCAGTCATCGCGCGTGCGCATACAATAAAATACTTGGGAGTTCATTTATCTTCTAACATTTCATGGAGTGACCACATCGAAGCAATCTGTAGCAGTGCATGCAAAACTCTTGGTTTTATCAGGCGTAACCTTTATTTGGCAAACAAGTCTACTAAATTATTGGCCTATGCGACGTTGGTTCGCGCAAAACTAGAATATGCATCTTTTATTTGGAACCCGCACCAGTCTTATCTCATCAACAAACTCGAAGCAATTCAAAATAAAGCAACCCGCTTCATTACCAAAGATTATTCACGAACATCAAGCATAACTAACCTAAAAAAATCTCTGAATCTAAGCACCCTAGAGAATAGAATAATCATAGCACTTCTATCTCATTTCCACAAACTTTATCACTCATCATCATCGTTCCGCGTACGCCACATCACGGCCGCCCATCGTATCTTTCCGCGCCTGGATCACCCCTTTAAAGTACAACCCGTTTTTGCTCGAACAAACTTCTTAAGTAAATCCCCCCTCTTTCTCGCAATATATCACTGGAACAAGCTACCTGCCGACGTCGTTTCTTCCCAAAATCATGAAGATTTCATGAATAAACTTAAAAGTTATTTTAATGAAAGTTAATATTGTTCTTGTGCATATCTGCTTTGTTGTACTTGTTGTCGTTGTTCTTGTACGCGGTATTTCAATGAACGTGAATTATCCTTTCTTTGCATCCTTTTGTTGTTTTGAACACTGCGAAAATTTTCCTTAGAGTTTTGTTGTCCTTTTTTTTTTTTTTTTTTTTTTTTTTTAGTAGTACTTTCTTTATTCCTCCACGTAGCATCTCTGTACTGTTAAGTAATAATATCTCTACATATGTATGTGCATATCAATCGTTTGTATTTGTTATTCAAATTATACACTGTAATTGTAACAGCTTTATTGTGCTACAACTCCCCTATGTAATGCCTACCCAGGCCTTTAGGGTACTTGAATAAAAAAAAAAAAAAAAAAAAACTTTCTCGAACTTGCTACGCACCCACTACGTGGCCTTAATGGAATCGGCACAGTAGCGAGCATGCATTATGTAGTGGCTGTCCGGCCATAAACCCCGAGCTTGTTATTTCAACCACATGTTGGCAATCTGCGCTTGTACCCCACATTATCACTGCAACATGTGATTAAAAGAGTAAGTTCGGGGTTTAAAGCCGGGCAGCCACTACAAAATGTTTGGAGCATAGGAATGAAATATCGTTATCGCGAACTCCCAAAGGCGAAACGTTAGGGTTCTCTATTACTTTGATATGTCAGCTCAACAATACACACATATGGACTGATCATTCAACCGTTCTTCGGCGAGACCTCATTGCACTTAACGCAAGGTACCACGCTACCTATAGAGCGACAAGAGGACTGGTCCGAGACGGTGGCACGTATGCAGTGAGAGCAAGCACGTCTGTGCCTCTCTAGTGAGAACATGCGCCACTTACATACAGGGTGTACAACTCGCGTCCGCATTTGATGTAGCCTTCATTTCGGCTATGTGAATTGGGGGCGGCGGTATCGCAATAATCGTTTCCAGGCTCGAAAAGGGAAGTAAGCAATATTAAAACTGAAGCCTTTCGTCGTTCCCTGCAGGCAAAGGTAAAATGGCGCTCTGTTTTGTACGTTAGCGGCAGTCCACGCTAATTGTAACGCATGCGCGGCTTGTCTGTAAAATTACCTTCGTTGGGAAAAGTTAGGAGTGTCGCTATCGTTAGTGCGCCGCTGTTACTTCCAGTGGAGAGAAATTAAGTGCGTGGTTATAAATTTCGCACACGGTTCAGAAGGTTCAGAAAATTGTTCTGGATGCCTTCTTGCCACCAGGAGTGTCTTTTTCTTCTTCTTCTGATTCCCGTATACATTTCGATGAGTTAATGTTGCCACTAGCACATTTACCTTTCTTTTGTTCTCAATGATGAAGGCATTCTGCCCGGGTATAATTGTAGACTCAATTCCAAAAACCAAACTGTAGTGTCAGTACTCTTTCTCTGTGTTTAACAACAACAGAAAGAGAATAGAGACACCAATCATCACAAGAAAACAGCAGTTGCACAGAAAACGCCACTATGGCGTTCCGATACATTTTTTCTTTAAGAGGTACATACGCAGTTACTATAGCGCAGTAATTACAAGCCCAAACTTCACATGTACGAAGAAAAGTGATTGTGCTTCACAAGGGTCGTCTACGGCCGGATATCTCATGAAGAGGTATAAAACTGGACACCGATATTTCTCTAGTGGTAATCTTTGCGGCATATCATTACTAATCCCAACGCCTTCTTTATTTCAATGCCAGTGCAAATGCGCGCTACTCAACGGGAGCCGTCGGTCCGCCTTAATTCAGGGAGTGATCGTGATGCGGTATATGAGGGGTCACGCTGCTCGCGTCACACGTGCGTCCGAGTGCTTTCCCCCGAAGATGCGATAAACCAGTTTACCACCCCAATATCATACGTCTGTCAGATTCACTCGTTCATGCTGCTTCTTTCTGGTTCGAGAGAATGCCGCCGCCGCGTCACAGAGCAGCGCATACAGAAAGTAAAGCCCCTTGATCTTGGGGCTTTAGCAGAAACGTAGCAATGACGCTTCCCCTTTGGTTGCCCGCATAGCGCAACCAACGACGACATCTCAAAGCACCGTACATTTCGCAGAGCCAGCGTGACTGCCAATATTGTGAACACGTGGATGCAAGACGCCACCCCAAGGATCTGTACACAACTGAACAAAAAATTACTTCATATGATTTCCGTCACGAGGCACTCCATGAGGGGCTACTCAAAGGCCCCTAGATGAAACAAGTTTCCAAGATAGCGTCACTCATTGCTCTCGAGCCATCCTCCTCACTCTCTCGATTACCCTTGCTTTTCTCTGCCATCCGCGTTTGTAATTGGTGTATTCCTTGCACGTGATCTTGCAAATGGCTGGTGGTGTTATTTATTATTATGAAAAAGGTTCTAAACGAGTACGCATGCGCATATGGCTTCAGCTGAATTCTCGCCGTGACCAAAGACGAAATTGTAGGCAGGAAACAAACTGAAGAGGAGAAGCGTTTCAGTGTGCGCCAAGTCGACCAAGATTGTTTTGCGATGCTCGTTCAATGCAACATACGCGTTTTTCAACAATGCTGCGTTGCCTTAAAACAACAAAGCCGTTTCACTCTCAACTTATCTCGTGCTTGCCGTGATGAAGCACACTATAAAATGTAGCTATGAAACATTTCCCGCGAGTGCTTTCATGAAACTCCGTCGACATACGTCGACGCGGTTTTGCGAAGCGAGTTTGTGTGTTGGTTTTTATTGAGACGCCAGGTGGGCGTCTATTGCGTGCCTAGTGCATGCCAGTTAGTATAAATACTTATGCATATGCACGTATACATGCCGCTGGAGGGTGTTCTCAACACACCTTCAGAAACGTTTCTCGCTTGACCAGTTTACACTTGAGCCGAAACGCGCTGCTTCGAGACACCTCACCAGTAGAACTCTCCCTTTTCAGGCACCGCAGGAACACCACACGAGAATCACTTGGCATCACGATTGTCCAAATGGGCAAATAAAAAAAAAACCTTCGTCACAGTGCTGCTAGTGAAGCTTTCGTACTAGTCTGCCCATAGTTTGTTTCTTGCGTGTGCTCAAGCCGGCTGTAATCACTCGTCACAATGTCCCGCCCTGTGGTCGCTGACAAGATCCAGCAAGAAGCGCGTTCACTGTGTCACAGAACGAACGAAACACATTCGGAGAAGTAGACTGGTTATAACTGGACGAACTGCAATGTACGATGCGAGATGCCATGGCCAGTGGGGTAAAATATAGAACTGCACAACGTTGCCCGTAAAGAGTAACGCACATCCCGTTAGCTTTTGGATTATACTATTTATGCTCATAAAAGTAACCGTTTATTCTACGACTCACTTTGTTTTATTTTGTTCCACTTACATCTATTCACTGTAGCAACTGAACCCAAACATTCGCTTTTTCATGAAATTTTTGAACTCTGTAGGGGGCGGGCGCTCTAGGAACATAAGCGAGGAGGAAAGGGAAAGGTGCTACCTTGGAAACTTGTTTCAGCTATGGACCTTAGGCTACTCTCCCCCATGACCGCAAAGCACACCCGAAGGCTAGGTGGCGGAAGAGAGCGGGAAAGAGCTAGAGGAGAGGGTGCTCAACAGCTAGACCGGGTGCATCTGGTTCGCATTGTTAAAATAGAGGTGGCGTTGCTCATACGCACTGCTTAACAGTATTCTTGGTTTGCAGATGATTACGCTTGCTTTTAACGCTATAGGTCCCGCAACGGCCATAACATAAGTATAAATAATGAGACTGTGTTTCTATATAAAGACAGCTGACCTGTAAGTGGAATTTCTTAAGCAACTCAATGTCAATAGGAAACAATTCGATGAGTTTAGATGTACATTACATTTACGAAGTATCCCATGGAAACCCCAGCGTGGATGCGTATGATGAATCAAACATTTACATTCTCACATTATGGCCATTTTGGCTTCAGGTACCTTCTCCAAATGGTCTAGCCTGGGTTTCCGATTTCTTCAAAACGTAATTCAGTTTTTTTAACGAAAAACTGTATTCATGCATACATAGCCACAGAGGCTACTTCCCAATAGATGTTCCAGCCGCAGTTTAGTTAATAAGCTGTTGAGCTATAGAAGGCCGCCACGCCTTCTCGTACATCTAGCCGTCAACCCAATGCTACCCATTGAGCCCCGCTACTGTGGTTTAGTTTTTTGATCCACGGTGGTCTAGATTTTGATGAGCCGGGATTTGATCCCGCAGGTCGCGGGATCAAATCCCGGCTGCGGCGGCTGCATTTTCGATGGAGGTGAAAATGCTGTAGGCCCGTGTGCTCAGATTTTGGTACACGTTAAAGAACCCCAGGTAGTCGAAATTTCCGGAGCCCTTCGCTGCGGCGTTTAATGTATTACTATATGGTAGTTTTTGGACGTTAAACCCTACATACTAATCAATCAATCAATCAATCAATCAATGCTACACATTGAAAGATAATTGATAGCACAGCGTTAAATGAAAGCATAGTCATCCATCTGCTTACCAAAAACAGACGCTGCGCAAGGAACGCATGCTAGATTACTTAATCGAAAATGACGCATACAATTCTAAGTAGTCTCTCTCAAGTTCATTTTAGCAACATGTGCTGAAAAAATCGAAGTTCCCTAGAAGAAGACTGCGACCAGCTGGCTACGCAGAATTTTTGAAAACTTATTTTGCTTTAGAGCGAAGTCTTACGAGGTGGATCAATTTATTCATGTAAACTGAGTTCTTGTGCGCATCTCCACGTATGCATGGAATTCAATCTGTTTCTCTGCTCTGAATCCTTTTGTTCTAACATCGCGTTTAGACCCGGTTTTCGCTTTTTTTTTCAACTGTTTTTCTCACTCTGGAGATTAGTAGAAATGAGAACCTACAAGGACCGTCCTCCACGTCATTTCAATGTGATATCAATTATATGATACTTTCGGTGGGTTTTTACCATCGCCATCATCTTGCGTATGAATTCCAAATCCATAACATCGCCCCGCACACCGTATGTTCTACGCAGGAGTAAAAAGCATGTATGTGCTTCAATTTACGTGACTGCAGCAGAGACGCAACGAACCAGCCACTTCCGTCGCACGAAAGACGAATTAGATAACATCGCCCCACTTGCGAGCTCTGCCATCAATGGCTCCTTAAGCAGAAGAGAAATTTTCCGCTC